TCGATAGCACCCCGAACTAATACCTAACACGTGGGCGATTAGTCGATGAACCCACTCGAAGCTCGGTGGTTTAATCTAGCTTCTCGTACGAAGAATTTATTGCAAGAAACGAACAACATACGTAAATAGAACAACTTTTTCATTCCATCAATATTATATATCTGCTTCATATAACACGATTTAAAATTTCAATCAACTCTAAAATTATATGAAAAATCGTGTTTGTTCTGTCATCAAAATATTATTTTTATGAAATTATTTCTAAATATTCCTATCTCTCTTCTTTTCATTCATTATATTCTATAAAAGTAACATATAACGCTACACGATTTAAATTATAATTTAATTATTTTAATGAACTGGGCGAATAGTGTTAAGGAATTTTATTAACTACATCGGCACATTACAAATGAAGAAAAAATAGGCCCATGCGAGCAGTGAAAGAGTTAACAAGTATCGCTTAAGTCGTATGAATATTCACGCAGGTTGATTAATGTTACCGTCGATAACCACCGAGCGTATATACGTACTCGACGATGAAAGTGAGTAATCACTGACACTAAATCCGCGCGTGGCTGACATTTCTTAAGTGATTACGAGCGGTAAGCATCGTGTCGTAAAGAGTCGAAATATATCATCCAGCACGAAATCAACATTTGTAATTTTCGTAATTTCTTCGCGAACAGTTATACGCATTAACTCCGAGAAATGTACCAGTTAAATATAGTCACGCAATCAGTTTCCATGTACATATATTCTTTCGTATATTCTTCGTGCAAGCCTCGGCAAGAGCCGCAAAATTATAGTGTCGGATACTTGGGTCTCTAACTCGCGACTTGTACAACTTGAATTGTAAATGTGCGGGGAAAATCGTAATGGTGTTGTTACACGTATATAATACTTATTCCATATTTACAAACTGATAGAGCAGCGGTATCTCTGGCCGAATAAAAAAAAATAAATTCTAATCAAACGTTGACCGAGACTTTCCGGCGATTTTTAAATAGACGAGATAAAAATACGGGGATCGCGAGGGATATATAAAATGATAGGATGAAGGGCGATACGCGGAGTGACAGCGGTGCGTGAGTGTGCGTTTGCAAGGGGTCCGCCTTTAATAATGTATCATAATATCACCTCGTTCCCCCGTACCTCCGCATATATACGCGACACGTTACGACCGTCTCACCCCGTATATTACAGTTTGCACGTGCCTCCGCGCCGTTTTTTACGTTGCCCGCGCGAATTACCGTCGTATACGCGACGTTATCCCGACTGTCGCACTTTTTCACGAGTCACGACTGTTTTTCGGCTGCGCCGCAGTAACACGAGGAATTAGATATCCGACTGTCGGGGCCTATTAATGCGCTCGTAAAACCAATGCCCCGCTACTTTTTAAATTGCGCAACGATTCCGACTAATAAAATGCGCGAGGAAATAGTTGTGCGTCCGAACGCGCTGCATATGGCTCATGAATGCTTAACATATGCCGATGCACATACATAAAAAATGCGCTTTTACGCTTTTCCCTTAAAGCTCTCGCGTCGTGCTTTATTTATATTCAGCTTAAAAGTGGCTGTTTTACTTTTTACGCGTTCGTGCATCTTTTAGAGCCGGCGCTGCATTTCCAACACGCACATCCTCATCGTGTGTCGCGTACGAATAAGCAGATTTCTAACGCCAAGTCGTTAATATTTGCCAAGCTAATATTTGTCTCGTTAACCGACGGCGGCACAGCGACGGTAATGGTAATTGATAAGGGTAAAGCGTTCGCTTGGATTAACACATTAAGCGCCCGCCGCTGTCGGCCGTAGTATTCACGAGTGCAGTCGGATTTTCGCTACTCTATAACATGCCGTTTGCACACAGTTTAAGCTCGCTGCCGCGAGTAATCTGAGTAATCCAATTCATTTTTTCAACGATGTAAAATTGTGACAAAAAATATTTATTTTATTTTATTTGTTAAAACCTATTCCGAAAAAATTGTAGTTTATTTTTCCTAAAGCGATTTATATGAATAATTTATCGCGTATTTATACTACAAAATGGCTCGACCTCACGTAAACGCCCGGGAAGAACGATTGTGAGGGACGAAATATCACCAGTCGCCGCTCGTTACATCATTGTTGGTCCTGCGAGATCGAAGTGACCCATATTCGCATTCAAATTCAGCGTGGCTCCTCCCACGGCGCCGCCATTTCAAAAAGTTTGACTTTAGAAGCCGAAATTCATTAAAATGCTAATGCGCGAACGAGAGAAACGAATTTCGTTCGAAATGCCCCCTCCCCCTTCGACCGTCGAAAGGGACTTTTCCCGCAGGCACGAGGAATGGCAGAGAACCGCACGGAGAGGGACGAGGAAACGAAAGGGAAGGAACTGAGAGGCAGATAACCAAATTAGCCGATACTCTGATTTATTAGTAGCGTCCCTAAACTCTGGCGGGCGGATCTCACTCGTTGCGTCCTCAAATATTGAGTTATTCCGCATATTATAAAAGTATGCCATATAGTTAACTTGTCAGTCTTTCCGGACAGCGTTAACCTTCCGGACGACCGAAAACAGTGGCCAAACATGATCTGCTTTGACGTTGGCGAAGTGGAAAAAGTTGTAGCTCACACTCGATCGATTCGCGTTGAAAAATTGTATTTCAATCATTTTGCTCGATTATTTTCTAATTCACTCTTTATTGGAAGCGCGACACAATAATTCATTCATACTTTTCGCCGAGAGACACCGAGTGCACACGGACCATTGGAAGCGTGCTGCGAAGCAGACGGCTGCGAGATATTCCGCTGCGGCGGCGAAACTCGTCCACGCAGCTCCTCTCGCATCGCGAAATTTATCGTTAGCGGCGATCGGCCAAGGTAATAGCCCGTGAACTACCCAATTTTGTGTGACCTTCGATAGACGTTTTCATCCTTGTCGAAACGGCGCAGCCGAGGAGCGGAAGAAAGAGGACGGAGAGCGAGCGAGCAACGAGGACGGCCTGCGCCATGGCATCCCTCGAGTTTCCGCCCCGTCCTTTCTCCACTCTTCCCCTCTGCTCCCGCAATCCCCCGGCCACAGTAGCCGACGACCCCTACGGATAGATGGAATTGGATCGGAGGGGTAGAACTGCTCGTGGAAGAGGGTGGACAAGCTCCCCTGTCCTCGGCAAAGCGCGGCGTAGGAGATATAAGCCTGTGTGTTGTCCCGTACCTGCTCTCCCTCTCCCCAGAGGAATATGTTATTAGGCCTTCAGGATTATGTACTTCTCGATGGGATGGAGTGCGATAGACGCGGAGGCGGACCGGTGCGGAAACGAGACGCAGAAGTCAGCGAGGAATCGGAGGAACGAGAGCCGAGGGTCTTGCCGAAAGATAGCGTTGGGTCGAAAAGGAGAGGAGGAGAGAAAGAGAGACGCCATTTTAATGTCCCTCCCTTGCCGATCTGAGGACCTACCGGGCTAAAATCCGATAACGCGATATACATATGCAAGATGAATATTAAAGAGATGAAAAGCGGGAGCGCGTTTTATCATCGCCTACAAAGTTACAGTTAAAAGAGTAATTTATATAATGTATTCTCTAGAAATTTTTTCTACAGAATGCAATCACGAGAAAAGAATTTGAAAAAAAAACTCGGTTATTGGCCTAATATATTCAAATTGAAGATGAAGACGCTTCAGCGCGCCACTCGCTCGATAATAACATCTTTTTCCAGCTTGAAGTATCAGTTTTGGCAGTCAAGCTAGCACTCAACCATCGAGCCTTCGATTTTTCACGCTCCGATCGCGGTCGTAATGTACAACTAAAACGTTCTACGAGAAAGATAAGACGTGTCCCCGGGCGGTGAAGAAACGCGGCGAGCACACGTGAATACACACGTGAATCACTCGGCGATGGCGAGGAGGCGGAGAGGAGAACGAGAGGGAGAGAAAGAGCCGCGGATAAATGGCCGAGTAGGCAAACGAGGGACCGAAGCGAGCGGGCAAGGCCAGTGACATGTCAAAGCGCGAACAGCTGTTGGGCTCGCCGAGAGAGCGAGAGAACTCGCTGTCGCGCGCGGGGACGGGAGGTGAAACGACGCAGCGAACGAGGGAAAAAGAGTTACGAGCCACGCGGCCGAGGACGCGCCCGCTCGATGTACGTACGGTCGGCGAAGCTCGTTGCCTCTCCTCGTTCTTCTGCCCCCCCCCCCCCTGAAGCAACGACTCGCGAGTAATTTAAGAGCGTGTCGCGTTGTTGCAATGGCTCCTCGTTGTACCTCGTAGGTGCACTTAGCGCGTGAGCAGCGAGCACGGCACTCTAATTTAACGCGTACACGCGTCCGCGAGATACGGGGGCTTTCGCTCCGCAGCTGTTTTATCGCCGACGATATCGGCAATCAGTTGGAGACCTAATCAACCTACCATAACGATAACTTAGTGGCGATTGTGCATCGCGAATAATATTTCGTACTTATGAGTCGTCTATTAAAGCATTGCTCCTTTGATAGCACGCTATGTTATAGATTATTTATCATACGATTGCGATATAAGCGAATAGAATAACACAACTGCTAGGCAAATAATTAGCGGTTTAGCACATTGAATTGAGAAGTGATAAAATATAGAGTGTGTCGTAACTTAGACGCTATATGGCATAACTATATATATATGCACACACTCATACTTTATTTGATATTGACGATGAAAATATAGACAGAGTTAATAAAGTACGGCAAAATAGATAGTCTAATTGTATACACGGAAGAGACACACACATTTATAAAAGATGTTTTTGTTAGAAATAATATTTAAAATAATAATTGCTTCACTCTTCAAGATTAGATATGTAATTTATTATAATAACTAATTATAGACCAATCTATTATCTAGATATAGAAAAAAGGACTGAGTATCTCTTCTGTGTGCGTCCAAGAAACAATGTAAATGGAATATATATTATTTAAACGTATACATCATGAGGATTCTAAAATTAGATATGAAATAAAAAATTGATAGAGGGGAAAAAACTTACGTATATCGGAAAATAAAGGCTCCTTGAGACAAAAATAGTAATATTGTAAGTCTCTAATTGCAAATACTGATCAAGGAAACCTAAAAATATAAAAAATTCAATTAATTTCGATTAAAAATACATTTTAAATATATAAGATATAGACATATAAAATATTATTAAATATAAACAAAATAAAAATATTGTAACTTAGAAACTGTAGCTTTTCGGGAGATTATTATTGGCGCAAAAATTTTGTTTTGTCTTTTGTCTATTAAATTAGTATAAAATTACATACAATTAATTGAGTTCAAATATTTTTGAGGACGTATTACCAATAAAATAATATCAAAAAATTAAGATATTGCTAAAAAATTAGAGTATTATTGAGAAGCTCTTTTTAATATCAAATTTGTATGAATCTTACAATTAGTCTCTTCTTCCTGAGAATGACAGATTTATTATTCCTTTATTGTTCTGGCATAACACGTTACAAGAGATTATTCATCCAATGTATTTATGTTCGATGATTTATCCGGAATGATCGAGAAGAGTCAAGTCCGTAAAGCCTGTCGTGCTGCTACTATACCGCGTTCACGCGTAATACGCAATACCGTTTCCCGCGCAGTTACGCGTATTTCGCACACTGTTTTACGGAGTTATATTTATCTAATTCTAATACCAAACAGGACCCCTCTCGAAGAAGACGCGCTCTTTCTTGAAGGCGAGCTTTTATGGGCGCGCGGGGCAAGGAGCGGCGCTCCAGAGTTTCCCAGTGTGTCACGCGTTCTCTTCTGTGCACCGACGCCTTCGACGAAGACTACGAGGACCGCGAAGACGACGACGACGACCGACGGCCACTGCGCAGTTTCGCGAGTGGAACGCGGTCGGCTCGCGTTGTTAGTCGTGAGAATGCGTGCTCCCGCGTGCGTCCAAGTACAGCCTTATGCACTCTCCGGGGAAGTACGCGTATACGCATGTTTAGGTACTTTGAACCCCGGACCGGCCTCGGGCGTCGTCTTTGTCACAGGCGACTGAGCCAATGGTTTCTCCGCAGGGGGTAAGAGAGGATTTGACGCATAGCCTTTGCCGCTTGTTATAAATAGAGGCGCGCGTAAAATCCGCGCGAGGCGTATTCGGAAGCTTACTCGTTCTCAGCGTTCGTCGCGCGGCTCGTTATCAACTCTGTTTATTCTGGTGCTATTCTTTGAGAGAATGACTTATGCAGTTCTCCTCGCACAATAAGCTGAAAGAGATATTTCTAATTTATTCTGGAAAATATAGATTTCTCTCTAGCACGAACTACGAATCTTTCCAAGCACAGAAAATGTCACGCAAAGATCACTTTACCGAAGTGATTGAATCGAATCTTTTTCTCATATCAATAGAAACTTGAGATACGATTTTGAGAGATTTTTCGGGAAAAGTTAAGTATCAAATATAGCCTCTACAATTTAAAATTTATATAATAGAAATTTTTTAGAAAAGTCAACACATAATAAACTCATGAAAGTGAATATTTAATCTCATGTGTCGTGTCAAACACTAAATGATTGTCTAATATTTCTATAATCTTCTCGATTAATCTCAATTTTTTTCTACCTAATTTTCAATCCAATTACTGAATGATATTTGGAGAAAATCTTGCTTGACGTACGTATCAGAATAAATTTCAGTCAATGAACTCGTTTCGGATAATCGTTAAGAGTGTAAATCTAATTTTTCAGTAGTACGAGAACGACATGTGGACAGTAAAGGCGCTCGCCGTGAACGCGCAATAAGATAAATTAATCAACTGTCACCTAGCAGCTGAGCATATTTCTCTTCAGCTGTCCAGCGCGGAACGCGCGAAGGCGCCAGCCGTCGAGACACGACTTGGCTATGTTTTCCTGGCCCATATCACGCCTGTGTTTTCGTAACCCGGAATCTCTCGCGCGGGTCATCGGTTTTGGTTTAGTGTCGTCTCGCGATGGCGACGGCGGCGGCGGCGGCGGCGGCGGAGAGAAGGCGTATGCTTGGCCGCTGAAAAACGGCACGAAACACATGCCGCCGGCTCTCGAATGCTTCTTTCCGCTCTCGGTTATTATACGAGCTCGTGGGCGGTGGCAGAATTTCTCTTACGGAGTCTTTCGCTCCTGTGCTTGTTTTTCCAAATGTGCATACACATACTCGCAAATGTTTCTGATTCGAAGGCGTCGGTGAGATTTCCGCGATCGCACACGCAATTCCTTAACATCACTTACAGATATTTGAATATCCAGTGGAGATCTCTGAAAATATCCACTGAATGTGCCGCGTGGAACGCAGCCAGATCGACAGTTACTAGTTAGCGTGCGCTGAATTCACGCGAACAACATTTGCTCATCATCCGACACGTACGAGAATCGGAACGTAGATGCGGGCGCGGGTTTTGTGAGGCGGTGAATCGCGCATTGTTCGCGTCTCTCGTTAAAAAATATCGCCGATCGTCAGTGGTTCAATGATAGATATGTAGATAAAGCGGGGACTTCGTTCAGAAATTCTCGTTAGAGATCCGTGCGTCGCGATCGACATGGGCGCGATCGTGCTTAATCGCCGCATATACTCTCGTCAGGCCGGCTCTCAGAAATTCATCTCTCGTGGCACTCGAAAATCGAGTACCGGCGCAAACGAACAGCAGGAAACGAGCAGCCGGTCGGTCGGTTCCTCGCGCGCGTATTCGAACTCGCTTAATCGGCACGCAACTGCGCATTGTGCGCGCACAATCGGCCGCACGGTGCCGCGTTCTCGAGAGGCGCGCGCGATGAAAAAGACCCCGAGAGACTATCGGTCCCGATTATCTTCGCTGTCCATCTAATGTCTTTCTCCTCGCATCTCGCTCACAATACGGTCGTTAAATGGAATGAAATAGCGCGAGCGTGGATTTTTTTCTCCGCGAAAAAAATGTATTCGCCGATATGAGCGCTGAATGCGTATTATGGTATTGTGATTCTGAATGCGTCGCGCCCGTAATTTGCGTTGCAAAAATATTTAATTAGATTTCTATTTTAAGACTTGCGTGTAAGCATATGCTTGAGTAGGCCTCTATGTGTATCTCTTAAAAAAATATTATCCCCTTATCTTAAATCCACGCAAGTGACTCATACAACGCGGATGAGAATCGGACGCGACAGATTATTTGCATTACAAATTAATTGATGTGAACAATGGTGTCAGAAAACATTAAAAGAGGAAAAGTCGAAAAGGCGTATATATTAAGTGCGAAGAATGACGAAGTTCACTTTGTCTCGTTCGAAACTTTGACGATCGATCTTCGGCCCCTCAATCGGAGGGGTGCCGTGTCTTTTTAACCCTACGCGAATCGACGAATCTCTCTTCTCGAGAGAATACTATTAAGCGACATTAAGTTCGTTTCAGCGACTCTTTTGACGCGACCAATCAGCTGACCTCGAGCCGTCAATTGCTCGCGCGACAGATCCTCTAATTGTTTCTAATTAGCGGCCCAGTGATCATTAATATAATTGTCTTAATAACTCGCGCATAATAATTATCTTTGACTGCCGGATCCATTAATCTCGAAAGAGACGTCGTGGTAAGCTCGAGCCGTCGTATGGAATTTCTAAAACAAGCATGCCGACCGACCCTCAGCAGCCGTAGCTTCGCTATCTCTACGATATCACTAATAATATGTCATCCGAACGAGCACAGTAGAATCTTTGGCTTCATCCGCCGCTCTCGTTATCGAGTAATCGCGCAATTTGTGGTTTCGACAGTATGCGGTGATAAATACATTGCAGTCGCGTGCAATTTAATGAGACTCGCACCGCGCATTGCAGTTTCGAAATAGCTCGGTAAAAAGCTCTGTGACGATTGCGCGATAAGAAGTGCAGTAAGAGCGAATTTGTGATAGTAAGAAAATATATGACTACGTAAAATGGAACTTTCATGCTAAAACAGTCGATTAATTTTCCTTGGCTTTACTGATAACGATTATTGTCGTGTCATATATATGTATATTTCGGCTCGAATAATCACGAAGTGAAATAATTCTAAATTCTGTTATATACTCAAGATACGATTTAACAACGTTATTTTTGCGATATATATATTATTCAATCAAACTTTTCGACAGTAACTTCATAATCTCTTAGGGCGTAAAAAAGGGTCCCAGGTAGACAGCCGCTTCAGACCAAAATATCTTGAAGAATCTTTCAAGAAAACGGGCTGTCCCTGTTTGTTGAGCCACGACAATGAGAATTTCCTTGTGCGCTCCACGGCGGGACGTGATTTTCTGCGTTTCTTGTAGCCGGTTTACCCCGCATTCGTTCGCCCGACCGGTCGTGGCCCTCCCCCACGAACGCGGGATCCGAATGAATAACTTGAATGGCATCCTACGTCGGAAGAACTGCCCTTTCTTTCGGTCCTCGATCCTTTTCACCGAGACGTCTTACGGAGAACCGGGCACGAAGAGAGAGAGAGAGAGAGAGATAGGAAGAGAGAAAGGAGAGATGCCTTGAATGGCCCATCTCAAGGGTCTTGAGTTTCAATGCATCGTCCGATCCCGCGGCCGAAACGAGCGAGTACAACAGGGAGAACGGCGGAAGGAGGGCGATGAGAGGAATAAAAAAATCAAGCGAAAGATCTGAGACTGACAGGCCCGTCGGGGATTCGTCAACTGAGATATGATTTTGTCCGTTCGCTGATCTCGATGCGCGGCAACGCGTCACCTCGAAAAAACTCACGCACATGCTCGGCATGTGGAAAAAATCTAACCCACATTCTATTCCCTATTTCGGCAAATTCCGCTCTTTTTGCTGTTTCTTCCAGCTAGATTTATTTCAACAGCAGTGCAGATTAAATTTTTGGAGAGAATTTCATTAAAACAACTACGGAACAAGAAATATAATATGTTGATTTCAGATTATAAACCGGAGGTCGATGCACCACGAGACACATTATTCTAAACGGCGAATATTCATATTTTTCAAGTTATCAATTTTAAAGGTTCGACATTTCGTTGATATCGTTAATGATAATAGGAAGCCGTTTAATTAACTACAATATACTCAGCATGATTCCGCAGAGGCTCTTCTAATGGCGCATACGATGTCAATGCCCGTGACGTCGTTACAAGCTGCGTTTTCGAGGCGATGGCGCATTTAGCCTCTCGAGAGGAGCAAAAAGTCCCCGTTTACGTATGCGTGCATACACGCACACATCATTCGACAAACTTGGGGAGCGCGTGGTTATGGGTTTACGCTGTACGACACAACGACGGTGAGCGTAATTTTCATCGTCGGCTCATCGCCGTAATGGGAGAAACCATGCGTAAGGTCGATGAAAAAAAAACGCAAAAAGACAGACAGAGAAAAAGCACGGGGATTTTGCGGAAAGGGAAGAGAGTGGACTGCAGTCCTGCAACAATACAAGATAGGCCACGTGGCCATTCCGCCCCCTCAGTTTCTCCTCCTTCTTTCTCTCTCTCTTCTCGCGCTGTCTTTTCCTCCAACACGAATGCTAGTATTCTACGACACGTACGCGAAGACGAGAGCCATGCGTCAGAGAGGAAACACATGAGTTCTTGTCATCTGGCCAGCAAGTGGTCGAGACACGGCTCTAGAGGAGCTACTAGGCGACCCGTGTGTGCGTCACAAGCGAGAGAGTTGTTTTTGGAACACGACTCGACCCGGCGCACAGTACGCGTGCACAGCCTCCAGAGAGTTTCGTGAGCCGAATCTTTTCGAGTTGCCGAGAAAGGGACACTTATGGAGAAGCAATCGTGTGGATGGTCCATCGGGAAACGATTATTTATCCCTTTTTTTTTTCACGTTGAAGATGCTCTTCGCACAGCCATTTTTAGACATATTTAACTGTTTGTAACAAAATATTTGTGTGATCGCTACTTCTTTATTCAAAATTAAGCACCGTAAAATCCACTGCGTAAAAAATAAATCTACTATCTTACTAATTATGTAGCAAAAGTAGATTCTCATGCCGGAGAAATAATGCTTCGTAAACTTTATTATCTTTAAACTTTGTCATTGTCTTCAAAGTTTATTGTATGTAAGAAGTACGATTTCG